AATTGACCACAAATGTGAGGGTTTATTCCTGGACTGTCAATTTTATTCCACTGATTTATATGTCTGTCCTTATTCTAGTACCACACTGTGATGCTGTAGATTTAAATGGGGTTTTGATATTGGGAAGTTTGAGTCCTCCCACTTTGTTCATCTTTTTCAAGATTGTTTTGGCTGCGCTGGGTCCCTTGAATTGCCACATGAATTTTAGAACTAGTTTATCAATTTCAGGAAAGAAGCAACCTGGATTTTTGATAGGAATTATGCTGAAACCATAGATCAATTTGTAAAATTATGTCATCTTAACAGTATAGTTTTCTGATCCATGAACACAGAATGTCTTTCTAGTTTATTTAGATCTTTAATTTCTTTCAACTATCTTTGTAGTTTTCAGTGTACAAGTATTACACCTCTTTGGTTAAATTTATTCCTAAGTGTTTTATTCTTTTCAATGCTATTATACACGGAATTGTTTTCTTCATGTCATTCTCAGAGTACTCATTACTAGTGTGTAGAAGTACAGCTAATTTTTTTATATTGATCTTGTGTCCTGCAACTTTGCTGAACTCATTTATTAGAGCTAATAGCTTTTTTTCTGTGTATGGATTCTTTATAGTTTTTACATGTAATATCATGTCATCGGGAAATAAAGATAGTTTTACTTCTTTTTACTACTTTCCAATATGGATGCTTTTTTGTTTTGTTTGCCAAACTGCCCTGGCTGGAACCTTCAATATGATGTTGAGTAGAAGTGGTAAGAATGGACATTCTTGCCTTGCTCTTAATCTTAGGAAGAAAACTCTCAGTTTTAAACTATTAAGTATGATGTTAGCCATGGATTTTTCATAGAGGTTTGTCAAGCCCTATTAGGTTGAGGATGTTCCCTTCTATTCCTGCTTGATGTTTTTATAATGAAAAGGTGTTCCAATTTTTTAATGCTTTTACTGTATCTATTGAAACCATCATGTGTTTTTTCTTTTATTCTATTCATGTGGAGTATTACATTGATTGATTTTTATAT